CATATCATTAAATAGCCATCTAAAACATACTATGGAGTGTTCACTCTGTGTTTCATTTCCATTTGGATATTAAAGCTTTAATATTTTAACGACAAAAGCAGTACATGTTCATGATACTAGTAAAAGTCTGGAAGACTGAAAGAAGAAAATGCTGATTATCCAGTCTTACTTTTGCAGATGTCACTGCTGTTCACACTGTAGCATACGTTACATGATAGTGTCATTGTATGCATTTCTATCTCTCACTAACCATGGAGTTTCCAACCTTAGTTCAGTGCCTAGAGTGTGGTGCTTGTTTAACACACTTCTAGTGAATGAATGAGTGAGTGAGTGAAAGAATGATTAAATGAAAAGGATTAACAAATGTCTGAATGAAGAGTCTGCAAAGGTTTAGCTCATGGTAGAATAAAAAATACATTTCAGGCTCAGCAACTTACTGTAGATTGAGAGACAAGTAGGTAACCCAAGGCCCTTAATGAATTGGAGCTTGCTTTTTCTGTTCATCCGAATCAGCCTCTAGGCAGAGAATTCAATTTAATTTTTTTTCCATCAGTCAAACTGAAGAGCTGAAAAAGCAAAAGTAGGGATAAAGGAGGCAAGAGGTTGAGCGGGCTTGGAGAAGGAGATCAGCACTGCTCATTCTTTCTGTCTTAGGAAGAGCATAGCTGAGGGAGCCAGTCTTCTTCTTCCAAAAAGGGACCCTAGGAAACACTTTCCGGCCGTGCTGGAGGAACTGATCTTTCCCCTGGAGGATGGAACCGACACTGTCAGAATGACGCTCATAATTTTTGCCTGGCCTGTCTCTAGAGAGAAATGCAATCGTGCTTGGTTTTATTTGAAGGAATCGGGGGTTATGTTTGCTGTGATTAGAATCAAGGCTGACAGAGTTTGATATTTAGGTTATAGAAGTTTCCATAGTCCCTCTCACATTTAATTGGGAAACACGTGTCTTAAATGTAAGCAGCTATCCCCCAGACACCTGCCACCGGAAGGAAAATGAACCATTTCCTAAGCTCTACCTGGAAAATTCAGTTCTTGAATTAAAATATACAGATATATTCTCCGGGGCACGGCCTGGTCCAGATGCCTTTCATGCCCAAATAGAGGAGTGGATGCATAGAAAGAGAAAGGGGGAGATAAATGAACAGACAGATAGTTTCCACCTCCTTTTGCCCATCAACAGTCTTCATCTCCTTTCTCTCTCCTAAATGCCCGCCCACAAACCAGGGTCGAGATGGTGACCACATCAGCAGCTCTGCTCTTCACTTTTACCCCGTGAATCTCCGTCGGGTGTCTCTTCTACCCACACCCTCTCTAAAGCTGGAGACGCACATCTTCAGGAAACTTGGCTGTTGTATTTCTACCCTGTCAGTCTCTCTGTTCTTCACCTTCTAGAGTTTCAGCTCCTGTCCCAATTTCCCCTTTGATGTTGTATACCTGTATACATACGGGGAACCAGGTAGGGATTAGACTGTTTTCTTCCTAAATAACTGAATAACTGAAATACAGAAAGATAAATACTACATGATCTCATTTATATATGAAATCTAAATGACATTTACTTTATAGAAGTTGAGAGTTGATGATTAACAGAGGCAGGGGATTGGGGATGCAGGGGTGAAAGGGAGATGTAGGTCAATGCATGCATTTCCTTTATACAGGAGGACTCAACTCTAACGATCCATTGCAAAAATGGTGACTATAATAAATGCATTGTGTATTTTAAAATTTCTAAAAGACTAGATTTTAAATATCTTGTTTCCAGAAATGGTAAGTAAGTGAGGTGATGAATTGGTTAATGGGCATGTAACAATGAGTATTCCATCTTACAAAAATGTAAACATATATCAAAACATCACATTTTGTCTCCTAAATATATAATACATACAGTGATTATTCAATTAAAAATAAAATAATTAGATGTGGTTTGTGGGATATGTACTGTAGTGGTTTTAGAGTCAATGTTGGTTTATTTATTAAGTTGTTGAATAAAATTAGTGAGGGAAAAATGGAGAATATAACCTGTTTTTCCTATGTACAGGCTTGGATACACATAAGAGTTAGAGCTTATTCATGTAGTTTGCATAAATATTGCGAGAATTGGTGGTGAGTTGATGTAGAATGATAGAAACTTGTGAATAGCTAAATCAGGATCAACATCATAGTTTTCCAAATAGTTGTAGTATGAGCCAAGTGTTCATAGCTTTATCTATAAATGGAAATACTAATGCACATCCTTGACTGTCTTTTAGGTTATACCTACCTTTTAGGAGATATACATATCATATATATATATGTATATATATATATAAAAATATATATATACATATATATGCCTGAAACTTCACTGTAGATACTGATTCAAGATTTTAAAAAAGCCAACACACACACACCATGGCCATCAAGTAAATATCATCATTCAATGCTGAGATAAATATTGCCAGTTGTTAGACTGTATTTTGATATCAAGTAAACAAAGATCCATTAGTTATTAAAAAGTAAGTTCTCATGGTTTTAAGCACTTCAATACTTTTAATATCCACTAAATAAAAAATATTCAAATTAATGTTATATTTTATAATTGCACTCAAGGGTTTGGCTACTGGTTTTAGAATAAATATTTATATACTAATTTATTGTCTAGAAAGGAGAAATGTTACTCACTTGTAACCCCACTACATTATATTTCATTTGCTTTATTTTAGAGTTATTTTAATATATATTTTGTCAGTGGACTATTAACACAAATCAAATAATGAATGCTGGAAGTTCATTTGGCTTATTAAGCAATTTTAATATGGATCTAAAGTGTAAGATACTGGGCCAGAGATTTAGCTCAGTAGTTTCGTCGCCTGCCTTGCAAGTTCAAGGACTCGAGTTCGATCCCCAGTACCAAAAAATAATTAAATAAATAAAATGTAAGATATTAAAACTCTCAAATACTGAGAAAAACACAAAATTTGATAGATATTTTAAAATTTGTTTTTATTTCACAGACTTTCTTG